GGAGAGGGGGAAGGAGGGGGCTGGAGGGGATCAATGGGGGGAAAAGGGGACATATGTAATACTTTCAACAATAAAGAATTATTGGGGGGAAAAAAAGGGGAGGCTGATTATCCACCTAGTTAACAAAAGACTGGCACCATGGTGTCAGGAGCCAATCTCACACAAAAAATAAATGAAAAAAATAAGTGGAAATATATATGCATATTTAAATTCTTTCACAATTACAGTAGTGAACATTTAAATACCTAACAATAATCACCACAATACAGACTGGTACCTGGGGACACCATACGTAATTATATCAGTACCACTGACTGTATTTCCCTATGCTGTATTTCACATGCTTATACATCCCCAGGACTGTTTTCGTAACTGCCAATTTGTAGCTTAACCTCTTCCCTCTTTTTCACCCAATCCCATCTGGCAATATAAAAATGTTTTCTGGCCCTGACCGGTTTGGCTCAGTGGATAGAGCGTCGGCCTGCGGACTGAGGGGTCCCAGGTTCGATTCTGGTCAAGGGCATGTACCATGGTTGCAGGCACATCCCCAGTGGGGGGTGTGCAGGAGGCAGCTGATCGATGTTTCTCTCTCATTGATGTTTCTAACTCTCTCTGTCTCTCCCTTCCTCTCTGCAAAAAATCAATAAAATATATTAAAAAAATAAAATAAAATAAAAAACAATAGGTTCAAATTAAGTCTGGATTTTTTAGAAAATCAGGTTTGGCAACTGTACTGACTCTATATCCCTTCACCTAATGAGAGGGACATATGCCTCTGTGGCAGCAAAAACGTGAGCAATGCCCTGACCGGTGTGGCTCAGTGGATTGGAGAACTGTCCCACACACTAGAAAACTGTGGGTTAGACTCCCAGTCAGGGCACATACCCAGGTTGCGGGGTTCAGGACGGCAGTTTGGGCACATGTGGGAGGCAACCAATCAACGTCACTCTCACATCAATGGCTCTCTCTCCCTCTCTCTCAAATCAATAATAATAATAAAAAAAGTGAACAGTGAAGGCTGTTTCCACTTGCATCACAGGAACACTGACTGGACCACAAAGGCCACAGGTCTCATCCTTCACAGCCATTGGGACTAAACATTGCGGACCTTTCTGAAGATGCGCCTTCTAGAAAATAAAATGAAATAAACCAATAAATAAAAATAGAGCATGCTAGCTAGTTTGTGGCAGTCTCCTCCATTCTCTCTGAGTCCAGTGTTTCTGCAACAATGATCCTTCTCCTGGCCCCCTGTCATCTTAAAACCAGCGATGGTACCTACAGAAGTCAGGACTTCAGGGCCCACAGCTCCACTGCAGGACCTGCAGGGACAGACGGTCCCTCACCAGTGCTGAGCATGAGACAAGAAGCCCTGTGAACGAGAACAAGTTCATGTTGCTCTCAGAAGCATGAAGGTTGTCACAAGGACCCCCTTCTCAGGTTGAACTCAGAACCCCCAAGTCATGGCTTCCAAGCTACAATCTGGGACCACAGAGCTCCGCCGTCTTTCCTAAAGGCTATGAGCAGCAACGCAAACTGGGCCAAAACTGAAGACGTAGCCCTAACCGGTTTGGCTCAGTGGATAGAGCGCCGGCCTGCGGACTGAAGGGTCCCAGGTTCGGTTCTGGTCAAGGGCATGTACCTTGGTTGCGGGCACATCCCGTGGGGAGTGTGCAGAGGAGGCAGCTGATTGATGTTTCTCTCTCATCGATGTTTCTAACTCTCTATCCCTCTCCCTTCCTCTCTGTAAAAAATCAATAAAATATATTTTTTAAAAAACCACACTGAAGACGTATATTCTGCCATCACACTATACCCTGAGGCACACAAGGTTTGGGATCCCAATCAATGCTGTTCACACCTTCATGCTAGCAATCCCAGTTAATTTCAAAGCACCCGAAACAGTGACTAGAACCCCAAGATGAACAGTGGCTTGAACAATAAGACCTTTATTTTCATACAAACAAGAGCAATGATAGGCACAGTTCCCGGGTTGGTGAGTTGGAGGTTGGAAAATGCCTTCACAGGAGTCATGTGAGATCAACAATCACTGAAAAATGTAGTCCATCTTTTAAAATGCCCAACTGAGTCCTCTAGGTCAAAACTGGGAAAGGCCCATGACCTAACTCAACAGAGAGGAAAAAATAAGGGGAAGAGAAAGTGCTCACCAAACTCATGAATTGCCCCCCAACTAGGGGCTTACATCCCTGAATGTTCTAGAATAGATAAATGTTGCACACTGTAGACTTCCACCAGGAGGTAGAGTTGAAATAGGTTCTGCTCCAGAATTGCCAGTGACATAAGTCTGGCTACGACCCTGGGCAAGTTAAAAAGTGCAATGCAGCCCTAACCGGTATGGGTCAGTGGATAGAGCGTCGGCCTGTAGACTGAAGGGTCCCAGGTTCAATTCCAGTCAAGGGCATGTACCTTGGTTGCTGGCACATCCCCAGTAGGGGGTGCACAGGAGGCAGTTGATTGATATTTCTCTCTCATCCGATGTTTCTAACTCTCTATCCCTCTCCCTTCCTCTGTCAAAAATCAATAAAAATATATATATTTTTAAAAAGTGCAATGCGCCCTAGCTGGTTTGGCTTTGTGGATAGAGCATCGGCCTGTAGACTGAGAGGTCCTGGGTTCGATTCCGGTCAAGGGCACATGCCAGGTTGACGGCTTAATTCCCCTTAGGGGTTTGTAGGAGGCAGCAGATCTATGATACTTTCTCATCACTCATGTTTCTATCTCTCTCTCTGCCTTTCCCTTCCTCTCTGAAATCAACAGAAATATATTTTTTAAGAAAAGTGCAATGCAGTTGCTGCATACATGGAATTTATATAGATGTTCAGATGTATGAGGCTCAACATAGGCAAATGGCAGCTTCATGTAGGGTCTACTCCAGTGTTGGTGCACTGAACAAATAGTATATATCTGCCCAATTAAGGCAGTTCTCCCATTTTAAATCTGTGGTATCCAATAAGGTATGTTCTGCACCTGAAAGACCTTCTCACATTCACTGCACTTATAAGGTCTGCCCCTACTGTGAATTCTCTGGATGTAATGAGGCTAGACTTTGGTAATGATTTCCTACATTTACCACAATCATTAGGCCTTCATCCAATGGGACATGGTGTTCTAAGACTGGGAGTTAAGGGTAAATAATTCCCACATTCTGCCCTAGCCGGTTTGGCTCAGTGGATAAAGCATCAGCCTGCAGACTTAAAGCTCTCGGGTTCGATTTCATTCAAGGGTACATGCCCGGGTTGCAGCCTCAATCCCCAGTAGGGAGCATGCAGGAAGCAGCTAATCAATGCTTCTCTGTCATCATTGAGGTTTCTCTTTCTCTCTCTCTCTCTCTCTCTCTCCCTCTCCCTCTCTCTTCCTCTCTGTAATGAAAAATATATTTTTTTAAAAAATAAGTTTCCCACATTCTAATACTCACAAGTCTGTTATCCAGTGTGAACTCTTCGGTGTTTAATGAGGCTTGAGCTATGGCTAAAAGATTTTCCACATTGGCTACACTCATAAGGCCTTTCTCCCGTGTGAATTCTCCTGTGTTTGATGAGACTAGAATTTTGAGTAAAGGACTTTCCACACTCACTACACTCATAAGGCCTTGAACCAGAGTGAACTCTCTGGTGTTTTAAGAGACTGGAGCTGTAAGTAAAGAATTTCCCACATTCACTGCACTCATAAGGCCTTTCTCCAGTGTGAACTCTCCGATGCTGAAGAAGTGCAGAGCTTTGGCTGAAAGATTTCTCGCATTCGCTGCACTTATATGGCCTTTCCCCACTATGGACTCTGCGGTGTTCAATGAGGCTGGACTTTTGAGTAAAGGACTTTCCACATTCACTGCAGGCATAGGGCCTGGACCCAGAGTGAACCCTCTGGTGTTTTATGAGACTGGAGTGGTAGGTAAAGAACTTCCCACATTCACTGCACTCATAAGGCCTCTCCCCTGTGTGAACACTCCGGTGTTGAAGGAGTGCAGAGCTTTCGCTAAAGGACTTCCCACATTCACTGCACTCATAAGGCCTTTCTCCAGTGTGGATTCTTCGATGTTTAATGAGGTTGGACTTGTTGCTAAATAATTTTCCACATAACTCACACCTGTGAGGCCGCGCTCCAGTGTGAACTCTCCGGTGTTGAATGAGGCTAGAGCTTTGCCTAAAGGACTTCCCACATTCCCCACACTCATAAGGCCTTTCTCCAGTGTGAACTCTTCGATGTTTAATGAGGTTGGACTTGTTGCTAAATAATTTTCCACATAACTCACACTTGTGAGGCTCTGCTCTGGCGTGAACTCTCTGGTGTTGAATGAGGCTAGAGCTTTGCCTAAAGGACTTCCCACATTCCCCACACTCATAAGGCTTTTCCCCAGTGTGAACTCTCCAATGGTCATTCAGACTATAGCTTTTGCTGTAAGATTTTCCACATTCATTGCTCACGTGGCATGTTTCTTGGGTGAGGACTCTCTGGTGCTGAACAAGCTTGTGTTTGCAATTAAAATCTTTAGTGTATTCTGGGTCAGACAGAGTTCTTTCCTTATGAGAGGCTGCTCCGCACTCAGTTCCCCGGTTTGACTTCTCCCTGGTGTGTGCGGCCTGATGCTGGAGGAATGGAGGAATCGCCAGGAAGTCCCTCACAACCGCCTCACAGGAATCGGGCTGCCCGGACACACAGAATCTGCAGTCCTTTCGTCCTTTCCCTCTGTCCATGCGGCCTCTGAAGCACA